TGGGACTATCTGGGTGGGAGAAAGGAAAGAAAAGAGAGAGAGAGAGAACAAACCAAGAAAAAAAAAGAAGAAAAGAAAGTGGTGCTGAGGGAGCATGCCTGTGGGGTGGCGCAGACCGAGGGAGGCCATGTGCCAGTGGCTCTCTAGCAGAGCAATGTGGCATAGCCCGTCAAGAAGGGGCAGCGATGACACAAGGGGCTAGCTGGGCTGGAGAAAAGAAAGGAAGGAAGAGTGAGAGAGAGAGAAAAAACAGAGGAAAAAAAGAAAAAAAAATGGAGCTGAAGGAGCCAGCTGGTGGGGGTGGCATGGACCCAGGAAGGCCATGTTCCGGTGGCTCTCTAACTGAGTGGTGTGGCACAGCCTGTCAAGAGCAACAGGGATAGTACATGGGGCTAGGTGGGTGGGAAAAAGGAAAGGAAAGAAGGGAGATAGAGAGAAGATACCAAAAAGAAAAAAATATATGACACTTAGGGAGCCTGCCAGTGGGGTGGCATGGATCCATGAAGGCCTTGTGCTGGAGAAAGGAAAGGAAGGAAGGGAGAGAGAGAAGAAACAAACAAACAAAACCAAAAAACAATAACAGCAACATAAAAAAAAGTGGCACTGAAGGAGCCAGCCAGTGAGGGTGTGGCGGACCTGGGCAGCAGTGAGCTGATGTCACTCCAGCCAAGCGACCGTGGCCTGTTGGAAAGCAGCGGAGGCTGCATAGAGGGAGGAAGGGTGGGGGATAGGAAAACTTGTATCCCTGGTAACCCGGTGTTCTGTCTCCTGCTGGGAGCTCTGTGAAGTTGCCTTCGCATACTCCCTCTCTGCCCTTCTTGGTGGCTGAGGTCCAAGATGGTGAATGATGCTGCCTTAGCTTGTACAGTCCTCCATTCTGTAGCTCTCCTAGTTCTTTTCTCTTATTCTATTCGGTACTCGGGTTGATCGAGTTCTTTATCCTTTCATTTGACAATTGAGGTTCCAGGATTGATGTTTTACTTATTTTTTGAGGTCTTCGCTGCAGAGTGATGGCATGATGCTTCTGTCTGTAGCGCCATGTTGGCTCCACCTCTCCTGAAATCAGACTCAAGTTGTTTGATTTCCTGACTCCTGCTTCCACGGGCATTGATTGTGGATCCAAGTAAAATGAAATCCTTGACAACTTCAATATGTTCTCCATTTATCATGATGTTGCTTATTTGTCCAGTTGTGAAGGTTTTTGTTTTCTTTATGTTGAGGTATAATCCAAGCTGAATGCTGTAGTCTTTGGTCTTCATCAGGAAGTCCTTCAAGTCCAATTCACTTTTAGCAAGCAAGGTTGTGTCATCTGCATATGGCAAGTGGTTAATGAGTCTTCCTTCAATCTTGATGCCTGGTTCTTCATATTGTTCAACTTTTTGGATTATTTGCTCAGCATACAGATTAAATAACTATGGTGAAAGGATACAACCCTGACACACAAATTTCCTGATTTTAAACCATGTGGTATCCTCTTGTTCTGTTTGAACGACTGCCTCCTGTCTTTGTAGAGGTTCCACATGAGCACAATGATGTGTTCTGGTGTTGATATATACCATCTTTTAAATTTCATTTGATGCAATAATATTTCTTCTTTGTTGCCCTATGAATTCAAGATTGTGGTAACTCCTTATAGGTAGTAGTCTCTGGGTGACACAAATGGTTAAGAAATTGGCTATTAACCAAATGGTTGGTGGTTTGAACCCAATAAAAGGCTCCTTAGAAGAAAGGCCTGATAATCTACTTCCAAAAGGTTACAGCCTTGAAAATCCTTTGCAGTGCGTTTGTACTCAGACACGTGGGCTCACCATAAGTCAAAATCAACTCAATGGCTAACCAAAAGGTCAGAAGTTCTAATCTACCAACCACTCCTTGGAAACCCTATGGGGCAGTTCTACTCTGTCCTATAGAGTACTATGAGTTGGAATCGACTCGACAGCATCGGATTTGGTTTTGGTTTGGTTATAATGAAAATTTTTGAAAAATACTGTAACCCAACCTTCTTGCATAGCATCCAAATGGGACTTGCTTCATAATGAGTATGACTTTGTGTCAAATATAACTAAGGGGTTTATGGGTAGTTCACATTAACAAATCAGCAGGTCTCCAAACACTGCAGTGAAGTCATGTATTTTTTAGCCAAATGCCATTCATAAACAAGAAAATTAAGGTATTATCTATTTTTTGCCAAGCACCTGGAATAAAAGGGAAACATCTGGTCAATCACTTATTCAGCTCTTTGCCAAATGCCAATACCTTGCTCTACAAACATGGAATTCTCACTGTATCTCTGGTGGATGAAGAGGCTGCTCTAGATTATCTTATAGCTCTGAGACTCTGTGAATTAATATTTTGCCCTACAGAATAAGTAGTAGAATATTGGCTAAACATTTCCATTAGAATTCAAATGCCCTGGCAAAATGTCAATACCACATAAGACAGAGACAAGTAAGGGTGAAAATGAATATTATTAGTAATTATATTATAGTAATTATATTATAAACATAAAAATTATATAATTATTATATATATATATGTATATATACGTATATAAAACTCTTAGTCATTCATCAGAGAATTATCTATATCTTGTGTTTAGTACCAAGCAGGTAACTTCTTTCCTTTCTCCTTTTGGACTCTTCACCTAAACCATGAGTTATTATGAATCTGAGAAGACAACATAATTTTAATTATAGATTATCACTTGTTAGAGAATGTATCAATTATTTATTTCTGTGCAACAAATTACCCTAAAGCTCAATGGCTTAAAACAATGATTTATTATTTCTCACATTTCTGTGGATTAGCTATAAGTTTCTTCTGTTTCACGCACAGTTGGTTGAAGCCACTCATGTGGTTGCAGTCAGCTGGGAGCTGGACTGGGGCTAGAACATCCACAATGGCTTCACTTACTTGCCTGGGATCTCATGTTGGGGGGCTAGAGTGACTAGTGACTGGCTAGTCCTCACTCTCCATCAGGGTATTTGGGTTCTTACAGGGTGGCTCAGGGCTTCAAGATAACAAAAACCAAAGCGACCAGAACTGTTAAGGGACTAACCTCTGAACTGGCACGGTATTATTTCCACTACATTCTGTTGGTCAAAGCAAGTTACAAGAACTTCCTGGATTCAAGGGAAGAAGAGATAGAGTTGACCTCTTGATGGGAAGTGTGGCTATGCTTACAGGGATGAAGCATGGGAGGAGTTATTTGTAGCCATCTTTGGAGACAGCCCACCATCATCTGTCCTATGACTACAGCAATTCATGCACCTCCGATGTGCAAATTACTCCACAGGCCTTCAAAATCTTATCCAAACAGTGCCAAAATCTGTAAACCTGGTCTAGATGTAGATGAGGCTACTCAGTGTGGCTCCTCTTGATCTGGAGACTTGGAAACTGCAAAAAACAAGTTCTAAGTCCCCCCACCCCCACACACATACACCTTACATAAATGTGATATAGGGACAGAATAACCACGAGGGAAGAATGTGAAGCATATAGCATTAACTTGTCAAAGCATTTCTGAAATCCAGTCAGGCACATATTGTCAGTTCCCCTAACCAAGAGGTAGGAAATGTTCCTTGATTAGGTCCAGGTTCTGCACTCTGGCTGTGGTTTCCTAATACACAGTTGTTCTCCACTCTAGACTCTGCTATCAGAGTGCTCAGCTTTGCCCTCAGGGCCATTCTTCCTTTTGCATAAGAAAAGGCTCATGCTTATTTACAGCTGAGTAACTTTCTCAGCCTACTTCCTGCTCATACATAGTGCTGGGCACTCCAAAGACTTTGTCATTTGAACTTTTCAGTTTAATTGCTAGTACAATTTTTTAAAAATGTTGGGGGTTTCCTATGAATCTTATTGGGTTAACTCCATCACCCCATAACCACATCTATTATTCTCTCTGAGACAGAGTTTGGACTTCTCAGGCTGCTTGCTGTGGGACAGTATCGTGGCTTGATATACTAGCAACAACTTAAATCTTTAAGAGGTCTTAAAAAGAGGTCTTGAAGGCCAGATTTAAGGGGAGGAGAAGGTATTCACACTCCTATTGGAAGGAGTACTATGTGTGCAAATGGACAAGAGACATTATTGATGGCTAGCCCTGGTGGCACAGTGGTTAATAACTCAGCTGCTAACCAAAAGGTTGGCAGTTTGAATCCACAAGTTGCTCCTTGGAAACCCTATGGGGCAGTTCTACTGTGTCCTCTAGGATTTCTATTAGTTGGAATTGACTCGATGGCAGGGGATTATGTTGGTGCAGTGGTTAAGTGCTGGGCTGCTAATCAAAAGTTTGGAGATTCAAACCTACCAGGCTGCTCCATAGGAGAAAGATGTGGCAGGTTACTTCCATAGAGATTTACAGCCTTCCAAGCACTATGGGGCAGTTCTACTTTGCCCTATAGTGTCACTATGAGTTGGAAGCAACTCAGTGAAAACAGGTTTGGATTTTTGCTTTTTTTTTAATCTGAAAGGGACTTTAGGGATTATCTGATCTGATTCATTTTGGATCAGAACCAACCAATTTTAGAAATTAAGAAACTAAGGAAGAAAGGGAGAAAAGGACTTGACCATAGTCATAAAGTAGGTTATTAACCCAGCAAGAGAGAGAAACCTTGTCTGTCATATTAGGGTGCAGAGTGCTTTCCTCTACATTTCCTCCCTAGACTCAGCTGGAAAGAAAAACTGCTTTAAAATACGTTACTAGGCATACAAAAAAATAATCATTGCTGTACCTTTGTTTTCTTATTATCCATACCATTGTTATCTTCCTTTAGCATACACAGTAGAGTTGACTGTACAGGAAAGATACAGAATCAGAGAACAGCTGTCAGTGCAAAGTGGGAAACCAAGCTACCAATTTTTGTATTTTTGAAACATCTGGAGGAAAAAGGGAAATGCCATTTGTCCTGGGGTTATAAAGGTCTTTTGCTTTCTATTTATTCTTCATCCATTCATTTAACAATTGCATTTTAAAAACCTTCTATATATCAGGCTAAGGAACGATGGTAGTTCAGTGGTAGAATTCTTGCCTTTCATGCAAGAGACCTGGGTTTGATTCCCGGCTAATGCACCTCATGTGCACCACCATCCATCTGTCATTGGAGGCTTGTGTGTTGCTATGATGCTGAATAGGTTTCAGTGGACCTTCCAGACTAAGACAGACTAGGAAGGAAGGCCTGGTGATCTACTTCTGAAAATCAGCCAATGAAACCCTATGGATTACAATGTTCCAATCTGCAACCAATCATGGGGATGGCGCAAGACCATGTAGCATGTTTTTCCATTGTGTATGGGGGTCTCCATGAGTCAGGGGACAACTTAATGGCCGCTACCAACAACAACATATGTCAGATTATATTATCCATAATGGTGACTGACCTTAGAGGTGTTCACTAGCTAGGGATGTGGGCAGTTGATAATTGGAAATATAAAAATGTAGTGAGAACGGAGGAAATAGTTCCACCTGGGGCAGCTGAACAACGCCTCACAGAAAAAGGAACAGAAATTCACCAGGGATTGGCTAATGCAGGGAGACCTGAAAGAGGAGGGGATGTCTCCTGTTGGACAAGGTTAGAACGTAGCATGAATGATGACCAGTTGTGGGAAGTGAAGACTGTGGGGAGACTGGAGGTATCATGCAACACTCTGAATGGGACAAAGAAGCTACAGGGCCAGTAGCTTCATAAGCAGCTGTGAAGAGAAAGAAACAGAGCAGTGTTCTGTGCCAACCTCAAGTCAGAAGTCATTCACCCTAGATTAGAATTTAGAGTTTCCAATTTACTGGTCAAGATAATTTCTGCTTTGCTTTTCTTCCCCCCTATGGTAACAAAAATTCCCTGGGACACAAACAGTTTGTACTTATCTAGCAATTTACAAGTTGACAGTTTGAAACCACCCAGTAGCTCCGTAGAAGGAAGGGCCTGGTGATCTGCGTCCATAAATATTACAGCCAAGAAAACCTTATGGGGCAGTTCTCCTCCAAAACACATGGAGTCGCCCTGGGTTGGAGTTGACTCTACGGCAACGTCTTTTTTTTTTTTTTTTCCGATGATAACAAAACCTGGTGATGGGAGCCATGGCCGCAGAGATTTGAGGGCAGCAGCTCAGAGAAAAGACACGTGATCATAAAATTAGGTCATACAATCAGCAAAGACATACAGGTGCTGAGGAAGTGACCATAGTGAACTCATCTACACTTTCCATTTGGGTTCTGCCTTTTATTCCAAAGAGCATTTTGAATTTGCTTTTAAATCTTGCTCCCATGCTTCCAGACCATTGCCATGAGGCACTCGGAACAGACATTGTGAACATGCTTTAAGCAAAGTGAGTATAGACTATTTGTAAACATCATTCATTTTTAGAACCTGCAGCGTGTCACAAAAAAGAACATTAGCAACCATTTAGCTGGAAATCTGCTACAAGTTAAACAATGACAACAAGAACAACAACAAAATAAACACAATGGTGACTCTCCGGTGCCCAGATCAACCTGGGCAGGATGGCGTCCTTCAGATTTGTGTCCCACCTCCAAAGACTGGCTACCTGTTTCACCTCCACCATGGCTCAAACCCAGGGCTGGGGGCCAGCCCAGCCATCTTCTCAGAGAGGCAATCAAGCTGCCTCGCAAAGAAAACAGAGGCAGTGAGAGGGCGCGATGCCACGAAATAAATGAGGAAGCACATCCCGTTTTTATCTCCATGGCAGTCAGCCCATTCCATTCTTTGCATGCTATTTTCATGCGTTAACAACAGTTTGAGAGCTGAATAGGAGGAGAGGAGGAATAGTTTAATGGAATGAGACAAGGAGAGAGAGAAACATTCTCTGACTATTAATCCAAACCCAGGGAAACCCAGTGGTGTTTGCTGCAACCAGATGTAACAGAATTGATTTGGGGGCTTGCTGTTGAAATGAATATGATGGTGCCCTCACCCTGTCCTGCCCTCTCTGCTTCTCCCCTGTTTCCATGGCCCCATGCAAGCCTTTATTGAAGATGTCGACATTTCCCTGGTTCTTCCCTACTGGTCTGTCCAGGTGGGGCCACGGTTCCCAGATGGGGGCCTTGGAACCCTCCCCAGTGCAGTGTGGGGAGAAGAGGCTCTACTTTCTCATTGGCCCTCCCCCATCGGAGGTTATCCAGAGCACACACACTTTCCCTCTCACAAGCTGATGGAGAACTGCAGAAAGCATGATGCTGTGTGATGGGCTGGGTGCCAAGCCCCGAGATCTCGTTAGAAAACGGCCAGTTTCAATGGACAGATTTTGTCCATTAAAACCTATTACTCCATCCGTCCCAGAGCCCAGCTGGTTCCATTATAGACAATTGAAGTGAAATGATGTCAGGTTTGTGCCATAAAAATGAATAGGAATCTTGCTTTTCATTATTTTAAATTGCAGATTATTGTACTGATATGTATTTATATTTGTAATTTCTCTCTGGCCCTGGTTGAGGGTCTGACCCTTGAATAATGAATAAACAGAAAGACACATGTTGGCACTTGAGCCTTGCCTGTGTCACCCTGGTTTTTCCTTCCCATTTGTGACAAATTCAAAAATGCAACACTCTTAAATGGGTTTATAATCTCTACTCTTTTAAGCTGTCACTCAACCTCTGTCTCAGAATATAGGTTATTGAAACCAAGTAAGAGGCTTTTCACAGAGACCTCAACTTTGCAAACTTGCTTCAAGGCTTTGAGCTAGCCCCTTGGTAGCTTTAGAATTAAAATAAGAGCTTGGAGTAATTGTTGCTTACTGAGATAAAGGAGGTTCATTTAGAAGTGCCAAGTGTACTTTAGCAGCCTTAAAAATGATGGCTTCTTTTGTTTGAGCATAATCAAGTTTTCTAACTGTATCTTTCAGAAACCGGATTTTTATAGGAGGAATCTCAACAGTGGGCAAAAAGGGCAAAGTAACAGTGAATATAATAGTCATGACTCTGGGTCCATTTTAAAGTCTTTTATTGTTGAAAAGGTTTTATATCTTGTTGGTCTAGCACTTAAGTGGCTACTGAGAGTATCAGGAATAAAAATATAATAAGTCCTAGAGTACTAGAGACATGAGAAACAGTTGAACGGCTATAGAGATAAGAGAACTTGTGCCCCAGCGTATACTTGACTTCCAAAAACACGTACAACTCACAGAGGCCTTTAGGATTCCTAGGCTTACCGAACAATATTGATGAAAAATCTGCAAACAAATGATAATTGCTTGAAATAAGAAAAAAAATTTATAAAGCTATTGTTTTCAGAGATGTAGAAATGTCCTGACACATGTATCTGCATTTCCCCCAGTTTATTAATTCCAATACAGATGAACCTTGAAAACATTATACTGAGTGAAATAAATCAGTCACAAAAGGACAAATATTGTATGATTGCACTTATATGAAATATCTAGAATACCAAAATCAAACCCAAACCTGTTGCCATCTAGTCAGTTCCGACTCAGTGAGACCCTATAGGACAGAGTCAAACTGCCCCAAAGGGTTTCCCAGAAGCACCTGGTGGATTCAAACCACTGACCTTTTGATTAGCAGCCAAGCTCTTAACCACTGGGCCACCAGGGCTCTAACATCTAGACTAGAGACTTAAAAAGTGCCCTGGTGTCACAATGGTTAAGTGCTCTGCTGCTAAGTGAAAGGTTGACAATTGGAACACACACTGTGGCTTCTCGGGAGAAAGACCTCCTGGCAATCTGCTTCCATAAAGATTACAGCCTAGAAAACTCTATGGGACTAAACAAATAATTTCTTTTATAAGGATCAGCACAAAGCTGATTCCAATGAGGCAGAGGTTAAAAATGTCCCAAATGTCCAACTTTTCCAAGCTGCTGTACCTCTCCATCATTTCTGACATCAGCTACTCCCTCTCCCCTCAGTACTCTCCCTCCAGTCTGTGGGTTCCCTAATTTGCTGCAACGTCTCACAGAACTCACGGACCATATAACGGAAATGATTCACGCAGTGGTGGAAGCTGGCAAGTCACAAATTCGTGGCTCAGGTGTAGGCTTCTCCCTGGCCTCAGTCTCACTCCGTGGGCTGCGAAGCCCACTGCACCATCTCCGGCGGGTCTCTCCTGCCGGTCTCTCCTTTCTTGATGATGGTGGGCTCTCCTTTCTGCTCTGGAATTGGCTCTCTCTCTCTCTTTTTTTTTTATTGTACTTCAGGTGAAGGCTTACAGACCAAATAGTTTCTCGTGAAACACTAGTACACATATTATTTTATGACATTGCTTAACAGCCCCACAACATGTCAACCCTCTCCCTTCTCGACCATTTCTTTTTTTTGGTGAAAATATACATAGCCAAAGATACACCATTTCAAAAATTTCTACATGCACAGTTCAGTGACATCGACTACGCTCTTCTGTTGGTGCTACTATTCTCACTTTAGATGAAGGCTTACAGAACAAAATAGTTTGTCATTTAACAGTTAGTACACATGTTGCCCTATGACAATGGTTAACAACCTCACAACACATCAACACTATCCTTACTCAACCTTGGGTTCCCTATCACCAGCTTTC